TCGTTGTAAACAAAAATTTGTTTTCTCTTAGATCTTTTTTATCCAATCATTTGATATTCGCTGGCAATCGATAAATTACGTAACTTTATTCTCTAAATTACGAACTTGTTCCAATCATATATTTACGTGGAATCAAGAAAAATTGAATGCAACGACAAATGCGGCCCTGTTTCATTGAAGATGTCGCGTACACTTATACATTCGAGCTGATACCTAGAGGACAGGATTGGTTAATCGAATATCCTGCCCTGGTATCCTACTTTATAAGGTAAAATCTGATTGGTTCTCTTTGTGGTATAATTCGGACTCCGCCTTACTACCGCCAATTGCGCTGTGTGTTTTTACCACGATACCGAATACTTTATGCGCTAGGAGTGTAATTCTTGGGAGGTTGCGGCGTCCAATCTCCTTCTTTTTCCCTACTCTTTCTCTCGGTTTATTGTTTTCTCTCGACGAATTTCGGAAATACGATATACAAAATAAATGTGTAATTTTTACGTATGTATATATGATACGACGATGCGACGTATTAAACTGTTTGATCTTTCTCGAAATATAGCTAGCAAAAATAATTGAAATATGTAGCTTTCCAAAAGACTACGTAGATCGAAATGCAGTATTTAACCTTTAAATGTATGCGTAGAAATTTGTCAATATCTGTATTGATTTCAATATTTTCGGTTGTTTATTGAATCTCTCTTTTAACATCGTCAGTATAAAATTGTTCTCTTCTACTTGTGTAACAAACATTCGAAGGCGAAAGTAATTAAACGTGACATGACAAAACTTAACGTTATATTTTTAATTAAATTAAAGTTATGTAATTACATGTAGGAAAGGCATGACATCTTAATATATTATTGTGAAATTCATCTAAGAATAGTGTATGCAAATTTCAGTAAACGAACGAATTGTTTAAATATCTTGTTAACAATGTACTATATTCTATATTAATATTGTATACTTGTATTATATTTCCATAAACCGGTAATTTATAACAATTGAACGTAAGACAATCGTTATTAGATTCTCGATTTAATTTTTGCATTATTTCTTAACATTTATACAGGTATTGTAATTATTAGCTTCATAAAACGAAAGAAGCATATACGCAGTAATAATACATAAATATTTGCGATTAATGAATATTTCATCCTAAATTTGCGAGTGACCATTGATTCAACTTGCGTGTATCATTTTATTATCAATGAAAAAAAGAAAAACAAATTTCTGTAAAACAGAAAGACTAACAGCATCACACACGCGTCAATTCACAGTCAAAATACAATTTTTCAACTTCAACTTTACGATGAAATAATTTTTTCAAATAATTAATAAGCTTTTAAATATTCGCGATTTGCGCACTTTTCCTTTTTCAAGTGATTTTCAAATCAATTATTTGAATTACTTACAATAAACCATCAAAATGTGGCTTTGTATTGTACTGTTATATGCATAAATAAGTATATTTTACATATTTATTTACGTCATACACGCTTTGTAATCTATGTACAACTAGTGAAAAGTTTATAACAATTCAAACTTCAAGAACGATTATAAGAAATTATGAAAGGTAATAGATGCCGTATATTTTGTAAGAAAAAGACGTCTGAAATATTTTTCTAGTCACATTAGACTAAATTTGATTATTAGAACTGATCTTTTCATATTTTTTTTTCAGCCAGTATCAGTATGCCTTTCACAAAAATGTGATAGCAGATATACTATTATACTTGTATGTAGCTATTGAATTCTACGATAAAACAACAATTCATGCAACAAAAGATTGATATTGAATTTTAGTCTTGTCCTCCATTCAATAATTAACGATAAATAGCCAGATCGTATATCAGAAGTTCGATTTTTATTAGAAAAAAAAAGGTTGATGTAAAAATATTTGCAATTTTGGCTAGAAATTACTGCTTTCTGGACCACCGTGGCAATCTAATGAAACGAAGATTTTAATCAAGCTGAACACAACTCGACATCTTATTGTTTCTTCGTATACATGATACACGTGTGTGCATGCACGAACGTTTATAAGTGGCAAAGAGAGATGCGCGCGCCACCAGGTGGTGCAGTGAGTGAGTGTGCGCGCATGATGCGAAAACTAACTGTGTGAGTTTCTACAGATGTTACGATGTGTAACTGGTGTGTGTAGTGGCCTCCGTCGGACACAGGACAGGATAGGACAGGGTAGGGTAAGAGAGAAGAGTAGTCCTTCGTTGTGAACTGAGACTGAGGGGAATGGGAACTGGTAGGGATAGGGGGGAGGGGAGGGGGGGGTAGAGATGTGTAGAATGATTCGGACCTATGGACACGCTTGCACCTCGACGGTCCGTGCCGCCGCAGCCGCAGCCGCAGCCACCGTCGGTGAAAATCGTGTGAACGCGCGCGCGAACGAGGGTGGTTTTTCGGTAAAACATTAACACGAAACTACTTTCATCGAACGGTATTAGGTTTTGAGCGGTGTTCTTACGAAATACACGAAGGAAGAGTGAATTGTGGTAAAGTGAAGTGACGCTTTGGTGCTGGAATATCGAGCGTCGCGGTGGCCGCTACGAGTTCTCTCGGAAGCCCAAACGGAAATCTCTCACGATAATGGCGTACTTTCCGACGATCCGTGTTTTTTTTTCTCGAAGTCGCTTCGATTCGCTCCCGATGTTCTAATATACATTCGTATTCACGCTTTCCGTGTATTCGCTCACTGCCGATTCCACGGGAAAATATTTTCGGACAAAATACGCTCGAATTCAAGTGTGAGAACTTTCTATATACCCGTTTTGCCAGTTTCTTTCCGCTCACCCTTGTAATATATACTTAACGTGTATTTGAGTTCATTTTCTAATGAGAACGAGGATATTCTTTCGTACGTTTTAGTGCCGCTGTCAGTGTCTCAGGTTTGTAAGGTGTTTTTTCCTTGTTTCTTTTCATTTTTCTGTTTAGGAATTTCAACGAGAATTATTTGCTTTCATATTCTGTACTGGTATTCGGATTTTATTAGTATATCAGTCAGAAGCTTACAGTAATACCGAGTTGGTATTCTTAGACATTTTTATTTATTTCGAAATTTTTGTTCGTGATTAATATTTGGAAATTTTCGGCATCTCATTGAACGAATCGAGTTAAAAATGTATAGAAAACTAAATTTTTTTAATCAGAAGTGCAATATTTTCAATATGAAATGATTGTCTATTCTTTTTGTTTTTTATGTACATAAAATATATTTATATAGATTTCAATAA